TGTAATAAATTTTATAAGTAAATAAGCAAAACAATGAACTCATAAAACTTTGTATATGTGTGTGTGTGAAATAGGTCGAGGTTTTGGGGCTGCTGACCAAGAAACCAAACTGAAACTGAACTTCTTTGTGTTAATGCAGTGTACGTGCGTGTGCGCTTTGCCTACTTTTCCTTGACCATTCGATGCATTTTCCATTTCGAAAATTGAGTTCAACGCAACCTAATGAATGTTATGAACAATTTTTTTTTTGTCTAATTATTTTAATTACGATTACCTAATACGGGTAAAAGTAGGAACTTGGCTTTTTGGTGAAATGCCGGAAGTGCTCATATACATACATACATACATATGCGCATAGTATGTATTCATATTGCAAGTATGCATGTGCTGGGTGTGAAATGCATATTTGATGTGCTAGAAAACAATAACAAAAGTAACATAAAAAATCAGCATAAAAAGCAAAAATTTTGTTAAGTTATTGGAATGCCAACAGCCAGCAGGCAGAGGAAGCGCCAGCGCTGAAAAATTCAAAACAATTCAAAATGCATATTCAATTTTTCATTTCTGCATTTTTATTTTCGCTTGCTATTATTATTATTATTATTTTTATTTTTTTATTTTTTCCATTTAAAATGAGCGCAGTTGTTGAGTCAGCTTGCGGCAGCGCGGCGCGTCGCTTCTGTGCTCGTACGTGAGCGGCGCTGTGCCGCCATTCAATTGAGAAATCTCAAGGAAATTGATGTGCTACAGAAGTACTTATAAGTATATAAAAAAAAATAAAAATTGCGAAAAAAATCACAACAAATACGGCTATAATGCAAAATGCATGAAGTCATCTGCCGTGAAAACTGCAGTAGCTACAAATACAGCAGACCGAAGCAGAAAAAAAATAATAAAAAAAAAAACAAAAACAATGCAGCAGAGATAGTAATGCAAAAAAATTGCATGCAACAGCCATACAAGTGACTCAATTGCTGTAATGATTGTTGTTGCTATAACATTTTTTCTTCTATTTTGCTTGTGTGAATACGCTTGCGGGAGTAAATTTGCATAATGCATTGAAGAAAAGAAGGGGGAAAAAATTAAAAAAAAAAATATATATATATATAAACACGAAATAAAAATGTATAAAGAAACGGAAAACCACAAAACAGAAAACGTAAAGCAAGTTGTATGGAAGAAATGCATAAAATGCAAGCTTTTAGAATCCAGCACAAAAAAACGAAATATTTAAAATCTGCTGTTATAAATCAGCATTGCAATCATCTGCTGAGAATACTCACTGTATTATCATACTCGCGTTTGTAGCTATGTATGTGTGTAGTGGTGTTGGATTCTCTTCATACTGGGCAACTACTTTGAAATCCAATTCTTTTAGTTGTTACAGTCGTCTGCATTATTTAAACAGCAAATATAACGGTTTCGCAAACAAGCTACATAAATACTTAAACTAATGGAGACGACCAAGTGCTTACGGCAAGTTATGAATATGTTAACTTAACAACACAACTATTGCATATTAATATACAAGTGTGACTTCGTGAAAAAAAAATAAAAATAAACAGAAGAAAACAAGAACCATTACATTTTGTAATTGTAATTGCCACTTTTGCACATTTGTTATTACTATGATCTCGTGGTGGTATCAGATTTATTTTAATGCAGTAATATAACGACTGCGAATTTATAATGACAGAAAAATTTATAAAAGTGAACACTCGCTACATGTAACTGGTTCGAGTTAGTTAGTCTATTCTTCATAGTAGGCTCATGTGTACACAAGCCGTCTCAGTCAAGTTTATGGTACTTAGAGATTCTATAAAGCATAATTTTCAATAATTCATTTTCTTTTACTTTGAACACCCATGAACTACAAAAAATCTATAAATTCTTCAGCATATTCTTACTTGTTTCAAGTCTCAAATAAATGCAAGTTCGCTACTTAAGTCTTTCGATTTCCGCAACAGAATACAAGCGCCCATATGAACTGTGATCTAGAATTGTAAATTTGATCCGATTTCGCCCAAATTTGGAATGAAAGACCAAATTTGAAAAGATAAGGATTAATTTACTATCACCCTTTCTCTACTAAATAGTGGAATTACCCAATACGAATTGTACATACCTATCGAATCTGAACTAAAATCTTTAATATATTCGAACCAGGTGTCATGAAATGTAGTTTGCATCTTTATTTAGGTCCAAGGTTTAAATACTAATTCTGCTTAAAACCTTCAGTGAGGAGTATAGATCGGATTAAGGAAATGTTATAAGTTAAAATGTCTTCAAACTTCCCTGCTTTCTCTATAAATCTGAGATATCTGCTGATCTATTCTTTAAATATCTCAACAAAAAAATGTCCCACATTCATAATATTAATAGATTGTCACTTAAACAATATGTTAGTGTTTGGCCGAGCTTCGTCTGCTATTTGTGTCATACGCCTTGATGTTGTAACACAAAGCGGGGGGCCTACAGACTTGCGCAGGCTCCGAACGGCGATTGTGTTTTTATTAGAACTGTTTTTCATGGCAGAAATACACTCGGAGATTTGCTATTGTCTGCCGAGGCACATAGGGGCATTTGGCCGATTTAGGCGGCCAAAATTATTTTTATGAATATTTTAACTCGAAATGTTTTGAAATTTAGAATTGTAAATGTTTAAAATCAAGTAATAAGAGGCGAAGACATTTAATTATTGAAAAAAGTTTGACATCGATAGGTTGCCGTGGTTCGATTGTAGGAACACGCATACCTACGTGTTCGTCTCGGCGAGAGGAAGGTTCATATCTAGGTTAGGACACTAAAAGTGTTGCCACTTGTTAAAAAATTAAATTAAATTAAGTTAAACTAATTGCTGCAATATGGGTATCAATGGAAATGGTTTTGAAAAGGCTTTATATATAAACAACATGTGGGTGGGTGCCACTTGTTTAAAAAATCAAATTCAAAGAGGATATTCCAAGCATCCATTTTGAGTTAATCAGCTTCAGTAGTTACTGATTTATCGCAGTTTTAGTGTTTCTGTAAATTACTGCTATATGGGAAGTGGGCATGGTTATTTCCCGATTTCAAAAAAAAAAAGTGTTCGCTTTACATTCCTGGAGATTTTTAGCTGGAGAACTGTTTTTCGAAACATTAAATGGATTCATATTCTGGCTCAAATTCATCTAAAAAGTATAATTTTATTGATAAAATAGCTCTAAAGAAGTGGTACTATATACTAGTGGCTTTTTTAAATTTTTCTTTAATACATTTTTTAAGTAAAGGAATACCACTTATCTGCCATTTTCTGCGGGCAATCTCTTGACACTACATTAGCCAAATTTCTTAGCTTTCAATTGAACAGAGATAATAACACGATCTCTACCGGAGATACAACAAATTCCCTAATACTCAACAATAATTAAGAAAACAAAATAATCGTTGAAAACCGAATTGAATTGAACTTTTGCTTAATAAAATTATTAAAACTAACACGTAATTGCATTATTACTTTCTGTATATGGAACCATCACTACTTTTCAAAAATATTAACTCAAAACCGTCATGATCTTGCTAGAGAGCGAAAATTTATTTATAAGTAGCGTTAGAATATTTTGTTTCCAGGGAAGATCAAAAATGAGAAAATTTTATTTTGAAAGTCATCTTTAAACCGACCTTCAAAACTACATTTTTGGATTTTTATTCTTTTTTTACTTAAAAACAGCAAATAAGGACATTTCAAAAACTGAAAATATGTTTTTCTATTCTTGCCACTATAGAAATGGATTTCTTGATGCAATAACTGCAATAAATGTGGGTAAAACGTTTGAAAAAGTTCATAGTGTTATTAGGCCAAAAAATAAAAATTTAAAACCTTCTTTTCCTGAAGGTAATTGTAAAGACCAGGTTAATTTTTCTATTCAACGAGTCAATCTTTTCTAAATTTTCACTCTCAAGAGCTTTAAAATACCTTTAAATTTGTTTCGCTATCTGTTCTCTATTTGTCACAAAAAAACGTTCCTTTTCCACACTGTGGGTCGCATTCAACCATCGTCGTCTAACATCGAAGCGCATAGTCAAATGTAGCATACTCAACAGTTCTCTCAATGCTAGCGGAGATCACCTATCCTATGTATTCTCATGTTTCCAAGTTATAAGATAGCCTTAGCCTTTTCGCGTGAAAGATAGTGGGATACTTTCTCTACGAAAAGTTATGGGCAATCGTAAACGTTTTTTCATTGAAATCTGACCCAACGATGACACACATGTTCATGGTACTGTTTACATTTTTTCGATACTTTTCTTAAACATTTCATTTAATTTTTTTGCCCTTTTCGTTTGCGTGCACCAAGGAAGAGTCTTGGGTTGGCCGCACCCAGTATCCGTATTAAGTTGTAAAACTAGAAAAATAGCTAAGACTGCATATTAAAAGTCTTAACAAGGGTATTTAAAAATCCAGCTGTGGAAGAAGAGAAGTCAGCTAACATTTTTATATATATAAAGTTTAAATTTTAAACTCGTACTCACCTACATTTGTTCATGGTTTGGTTCTTTTTATGTGTCTACCTACAAGCGAAAGTGATGCATAAAAAAATGTATATATAAACGGGTGCAAGCTTAATTTCTAGCTACATTTCCTCCCAGAAAATTTTATAACTCTTGTTTACAAATTCACTTTTAGGCCACGCGCTGTTAGGTTTCAACAGTTGTTTGGCGGTTTTTATTGTTTTTTTTTTATTGGCTTTTACAATCCTGAGGAAACGTTTACCTATTCAATTCTTTTCAATTTTTGTTTTTTTTGGGCATATGTTGTTGGTTCAAATGTTTGCCTTACATTGCTAAGTATGTATGTATATATGTTTATAATGATGTGTGTTGAATAGTCTGCAAGCAACATTTTATAATGACGGAGGAAATGAAAATGATCGTGTCATTTCCAGAATCTTTTGTACCCACTGACTGTTACACAAACGCTTTATGTTAACACAAAAAAAAAATACTAAATTTGCAGTTCCACAGCTGTTTCACAGTTCGAAAGGAAATCCGTTTTAAAAATTTAAGACAGTTAAAATGCACTCAAATTTTAAACAATTAGTGACAATTTCATAGAGACACCCACTAATCGCATAACCATGAAAAGAAAAAAGAGACTGCCGCATGCATAAGAGAAAGAAGAAGAAGAAAAAAAATTACCTAAAATTTTCAAATGTTCGTAATTTGTGAGCGTGTAAATTAATGTTTTACAAATGATCGAATGGTGGTGATTCTACTACTATCGCCGCCGTCACCAACACCACAACCACCACAACACACAACATCAGCAACAAGCAATGGCTGTGATGGAGGATCGAACGATAGCAGCACTGTATCGACCACATCGACCGGCGATACCGTCATACCCACCATCTATACCGTTAACAAGGCAATACCACTGCCAAACGAAGCAACATATCAGCACTATCAACCACCACAACCACCGGCGCCAACGGCATTTGCACATCAGGAGCACTACCTGTACCAACAGCAGCAACAGCAGCAGCAGCACCACCACCACCACCATCATCTCCTTACTCCCGCCGAGTACGCTCAGCAGCGACAACGTCATCATCGAGCGCCATCGCTGCATGGAAAAACGCCACAAGCGAAACCCCAGCCTAAAACAGCACAACATTCTAGTCATTTGCGTAGCGAGCGAAGTAGAAACGCCCACGAACGCGATAGATATCCGAGCACTGTAGACGCTCAAGATGCGACACGTCCAACACGAGGCAGCATGGGTCGTAGTTACGAGGGAGCGCGCAAGAAAGATGTCTGGCACAGCACATACACCGAGAATCATTGTCTCACCACCACCGCCACCATCTCCGCCAGCTCAGCGCAGTGTGGAGAAAGTTAAGAGCTCAAGAGCAGCAGTTGGTGCGCCGCGTGAACCCAATACAACAGCCTCAACAAGACCAACATCTACACCACCGCCTTTGCCTAAAAGCCAACCACCCTACAGTTCCTATTACAGCTGTTGGTGTGGCGAACAGCAGGCTCATCAACACGCTCACCATTTGTGTACGAATCCGTTACCAAAGCCACCGAGAAGTGGCGCCTTCCATGCAAGTGCTGCCGCATCGAGCACACCAGCTAACGCTGCGACTCGCAGAAGACCAAACGGGCGTATGCCCGTCACGGCAACGTCCAATGCACGTTGGTCTATTCCTCCGTCACAAGAACCTGCCACTTCCACTTATCAATGGCGTCAGCATATTACGCCAACTCACTCGCTTCCTTCTTTTCCCCATACTGATTATTATGCTGCTAAATTGCATAAACAACAATTGCCACCAGCCGCCAATGCGAATTACAACTTTAACAATACTAACACCACTGATTTTGTACGCCACGTGACACGTGTTAATTTCTATGATGTCGTTACTTCGCAGGTCGAATTCGAGCCCAAAGATGATAGTGATGAATGCGATACGGAAGCTATTACCAAAGAAGGTGAGTGTAAAATAATTTAAAAACATATTTAGCATAAGTATGAATGCTTTTAAGCACTGTGTACTAAATTCTAAAGTCCATAATAATAGGCGGTGCTGCGTATCTCCACACTAATACCTTTAGTTAAGCGTTGTTGTTGAGCTAAACTAAAAGTAGATATGTACGTGGAAGGAAAACGTTTTACAAACTTTGCACAGTTCATTAGTTAGTGTGAATTTTCACTTTTAAGTTAGACTTCCTAGTGCCCATTACTAAAATTGTAGATGTGCAAATTCGTATATGTAGATATGTATATGTATGTACATTAGGGTGGTCCCAAACAAAATTAAGTTGGAATTTTAATATTTAGAGGTCGCTCAAAGGACTCAAAGTTTTCCATGCATTTTATGGGGAAAAAACTATTTTTCGTAGAAATAGTATAGAATTCTTGAAAATCAATATTTTTCCATTGGAAAGTTTTTTTTTTTCAGGAACCTATCAGTAATAACGACCAATGGTTTATTCAACCATTTTTTAATACTAACAATTTTTTATAGGTCTCCTAAAAACCCCAAACAATGCAATGATAGGACCGATGAAAATCGCTGATATTAAAAAGTGGTAAAATAAACCATTGAGTATTATTACTGGACATCTCTTGGAACAGAGAAATAGATTTTTCCGATTGAAAAATTTGAATTTTTAAGAATTTCCACGAAAATGATTTTTTGATCATATAATTTACAGGGGTATATTTTTTCGACATAGACCAGTCCCAGGGGGTGAGAGCATTCAATTTCCAACTTTACTTTTACACACACATTTTTAGACCATCCTAATGTCAATACATACATATGTAGTCAACTACTAAAGGTTATATGAAGTCGAGCTCATAATGTTCTACACCCTTCTCGAACTATGTATTTACTTAACTAAATATGTACCCACCTTTTTAGATGTTTGCTTAGGTTTATAAGTAACATAATCTAATAATCAGTAGACAGAGATTAATGCCTCTTGCTAGTATTTTAGAGTATCTCAATCAATATCTGCTGAAAATACATAGTAAAAAAACAAGCCAATCTACGGAAATTTGCTTAAGGTTATATTTGAAATAGCCAGCTGGTGGAATAAGTTTTTTTCCGTCAACAATCGGAAAATCAGTCTTCAATATCTTCCTAATTGCAGATTAAATTTAGGCTTTTTATTTTATTTTTTTTTTCGCAACTAAATACACACACAACGCCTATTTACCTATCGTCTTAGGCAGACAATATCAAAACTCTAGGGTTTACAGTTTTTGCAGTTTTTAATCCCGACTTCCCCCTTGACAGCAAAATTAAGCAAAGCTCTTACCTCCTCTCCCTTCCTGTCCCTCTCCCCTTCTTATAATTACGTAATCATTGGTATTTTTTTTCATCTGTTAATATTACTTTATTGTTATTCATGACCGGCAATTATCACGTCTAGAAAAGGGGAGTTTATAGCCAAAAAATTATAACGTAAATTGGATATTTGTGCAAATTAAATTTTCAGCAAAATCAAAAAAGTAGATAACTAAATATTACTGACATTACACAGTGCTACAAAAAAGCATAAAGTATAAATACCTGGGAAGTTATGTACATTTTCTAATAGGTCTTTTCGAGTAAAACCAGAATCGAAATATGAAATTTGCCAAACACCCCCAAAAACTAGATTTACCGTTAAAAACCCGGTTTTTCGTACTTTTGAGCACTTACAAGCGTGTAACTTAGTTCATTATGAACCGAGTTTCGGTTTATTGCCAGGTTTAAAAAGAAGAAACTTGGGCCTTTCGAACGATATATATGCGAATAAAAAACCTTTAAGAGATCTGTGTGTTTTTATCTACCAAACACCTTTTTATTTTACTTTTTTCAACTTTTTTTCAACTTTGGTGAGCTATTTTATATGAAAACCATACTAGTCCTAAGTTGATTGTAAAACTAAATTTAACAACGAGTAAAACGAGTGTTTATTTTCAAAAATCGGATGAAACTTTACTGAGTTATTAAACTTTTTATGAAAACAAAATTTTCTCAAAAATATTATTTTTTGCTATACAACTCAAAAATATTTGCTTGACCTACCAGAAAATATACATAACTTCCCAGGTATTTTTTGGTGTCGCACAGTGTAATCCGCATTCGGAATATCTGCATTTTGAAGTGTGTATACATTTTTCGCAAGTTAGGCTCATTGCCGCTAAATTTTTTTCTGCGTTATCTGCATACTTAACCACCTCTTATTGTAATTGCAGCAGAAGTGCTTTCGAACATCACTATTTTTTTTTAAGGTGAACGTTTCATCAGAATATTTGCTTAATTTTTTATTCGGGTAATTGCACTGCTAATGCAAATAACTGAGGTTTTCAATAAATGCAGCTTTGGTCACTTGCTATAAGAACTATCCGCTGCAAAATATTGTATATTAAATTATATTTTGCGTATGTTCGTAATTCTTCACCTACAAAATGATCTGCTTTTCTTCTTTTTTATTTGTTGGAATTTCCGACATGCTAGCAATATGGTGTATTTCAGAACGATTTTACGTCATCCCTTGTCCAGTTTTGTTGGGGGACAAACCGGTTTCGGCGTTGTGCCATCCTCAGTGTATTTTTGCACTTTTAGTAAGCCATATGTAGATGAAAACGCTGGTCACGCTGGTGACATTTCAATGTGAACATATATAATTTTTACTTTAAATGGCTCATAGAACTGGCTTGAATCCTATATATGTACATGTATACATATGTCATATATTTAAAAGTTTTAACCATTTGTTTTTTTTGTCACTTAATTTTATTATCTTTTTATAAAAATATAATTTATTCCATAATAAAACCGTACAAATCCAATTTTCAAACTTTCCAGAAATTTCGGACAGTTTCGTAGCCCATTAAAGTTTCGTATAATAAGGTACAAGTTTGAGGCAACTTGGACTTACTGTCGAATTTTTGGCATTTTTTTATTTGCTGTCGGTGCGGTGCAATTTTTTCGCTACAAAGTATATTCGACGATTTTTTTATAGCACAAAAGGAGCACAAAATTGCACTTTATTATTTTAAAATTTAATGCACTACAAATCTGCATACGAACATATTTACTTAAAATTCTGATTAAAAAGCTTAAAATTTTGTAGAATTTTCCTCATTTTTCTATTACAAGTTTGAAATTCGTTCTTGCATGTTTTTTTTTGTTAACATAATAACGCTTCCCTATTGGTTTGCCCGCCACAGCATATTTTATTTCTCTTAAACAGTGCAAAAGGTTCGTGGGAACATGTATTTAGCACTAAAAATATGTAACTAGCTCAAGGAGGCTATAAAATCTAATATTTGCTCGACCAACTAGTATCTACAATATTCAATAATACAATAGTACAAACGTACAGCGTTAATAGCGGCTACGCATTACTAGCTAATTATTGGCATCCAATAAAAAATGTGTCAATTGGTTTCCTTTCCCACCGTTAGTAAAGTGCATACATACTTATGTATGTAGTAAGTTTTTCTATGGAACGAAATACTTTGTAATGCCTAAGTAATTACAATGAAAGAGAAAGTGTAATAATCAACATACATACATATTTTTAAATATTGATAAGTGCAACAAATAATATACATTTATACATACAAATTTACAGGTAGTAAAGTACTAAAGTTAGCTTGACTAAGAGCATAGAAGCACAATGATAAATTTAATTTTTTCTCATAAATGTGGTTATTATGTTTTTCTGTTAGCCGACACGATGACGTAAAAATTAAATATACATATATCTTTAATCATATAAAAATAAATGTCTCACTGCGCTGACACACTTCGCTTTTTGCGCTCGCTGCACGCCGTGAATTACCTATTTAGTTTAAATGGCAAGCTACCGCCGCTGACCAAATTTGATGAGTGCTGCACTCGCCAAAAATCATAAAAGGAAGTGCGTTTTTTTTTTTTGTTTTTGTGTAATTCTTTTATTCAATTGGCTTGGTTTTTGGCTCGTTAAAGCTAAGCGACGACTGCGGTCGTAGCGGGGCGTCAATTAGCATTGTGTTGGCTAGGCAAAAACATATAAATTAACAGTTATTTGAGGCTATAATTAACAGTTAATAAATGTGCAAAGATTTTAGGCTAACGAACATTTGCTTTTGGCATTCAAATATATGTATGTAGGTTTTAAAGTGACTGCAACGAGAAGTATTATTCTGTATAAACATACATACATACATATATTGAATAAGTTGGTGAAAGGAAAAAATACATTATATTTAAAAGTGTATATCGTCACCTGAAATGCAAAAAGACGTAACAACATCGCAACTGAAATTGAAAAATTACAACTAATATTTTTGTTTTTATTTTTTTCATAAACTTATGTGGGAGTTTTAATGCGATGAAATTCATCATATAAATCAAAAAGTGAATTTTAAATTTGTTATTAGTTATGACTTTCTGCATTTCAGCGATGATGTTTGTTACGTCTTTTTGAATTTCAAGTGACGATATGTGTGTTAGGGGGATTTGTACTTACATATCGTCGCCTGGGTAAAAGATTGTCGTAAGCGCAGTTTTGACGATTTGTAAATAGTTCTAGATGCAGTTATATATTTTGAAATAAGGTCTTTGGATTGGTGTTATCAGTTTTTAGATAGCTCCTTTAGTTTCCAAAATATTGACTACAATTTTTTCGATAATTTAGTAAAAATTTAGTTAGTGATGCAGTCATTTTAAACTATAATCAATATCTTAAAAATGGCATTCTCCATTTTAGTATATCTCCTTAAATTTCCGAGATATTGNCAGATTATGTATGTATGTATGTGTGTTCAATACATACAGCTATTAATATTTAAGTAGTGTTTGTGATTTTATATTTAGCATAAACTTTTAGCATTTGGCACTTTTTCTTGGCTAGTTGACCAAATCTTTAATTTTTATAATTGTTTTTTTTTTTTTACGTGGTTTATCATTAAAAATTTATTACTAAGAGCAGGACTTGGAACTTTCATTACAGTTTGTTTAACTGCCTACATAGTTTTTTATAAGATTTATGAAAATCGACTAATCTGGATATGCAGTTTCGTAGCTCATTAAATTTTAGTAAAGTACAAAGCTATTTTGATTTTTTGCTTTTTTTACGGTATTGTCAATTTTTCCCATATAAAAAAAAATCGAATACACTTCGTGCGGAAGGAATTGCATATCACTGTCAGCAAAAAAAACGAAATATCAACGGTAAGCCCAAGCTGTCAAACTGAAATTTGATAAGCTATAAAATTGTATATCAAAACTTTTTCTAAAAAAATCTGATTAATAAGTTTTAAATATGTATTGAAGAAAATTTATAGAATTTTCGTAATTTGTATACCAAGTTTGAAATTCGGACTTGCATGGTTCTTAATAAACATAAAATGAACAAAATAAATATGGCAAAATCAAGTGAAAATATGTGTACCTTTTTGTTTGCTTGCCACTGTATATAACCTAATCCCATGTTAAGTTAAGTCAGTCCATGTGCCACCACTACGACCGGTATACACTAAGCTATAGCGGCACATGTCACTCCTGGGCAAATCGTTAGGGATGGTAAGAAAGTGAGAAAGAAAAATGGCAAAACCGGTTTGTCCCAAAACCAAACTTGACAAGCGATGATAGAAATTCGTTCCAACCTTAGCGTTAAACAGTTTGGCAGTTTAAGCGAAAGTGGTAATATAAATCCACCTCATCGTCTTCCAACCACTAAAATAGCGGGATAGATCCCTGCCCCCAAGGCCAATAAGCTTATATTTTTTACTTGTGCTCTTTTTCTAGAATAATCACGCATGGGTACCTCATTTTTGAAAAATTTATAATTTTTAATAATAAATGTTTATTTACACATATTTGTTACAACTATACAAAATAAAAGTTCAAAGAGATTAAATATTTCCTATTCGCTCAATTACAGTTCCTCAGCTCGTACATCAGATATGGACACTTTCTTACATCAATTCCAAATATATTATTAGCCTCTGGCCGCAGTGACGGTAGTCATTAATCCCAATTCATTAGTCAATCGGCATTAGTTGACCATAGTTAGTCAAAAATCATTATTCTGTAGTCATAAGTCATTAATCATAAATTATCACTTATTAGTAGGCAGCCATTAGTCATTATACATATGTCATTGGTCGTCTTCATTAGTCAAAATTTAATAGTCATAAATCATTAGCGATAAGCTATTAGTCCTTAGTCGTTAGCAAATATTCATAAGTCATTTGCCGTTAGTCATTAAGTCACTAATCAGTAGTGGTTAGTCAGAAGTCGTCAGTTGTTTGACCTCCCAAAATCCTGGAAATGATCCGGTGTGACATTTAGTCTTGTCGATTGAATACCAATCGAACTGTGTTCTGTCCATACACCCACCAGAGTTATGATTGCGGATTTGTGAGTCCGCGAACATCCCTTTACCGACTCCGGTCCACCCTCGCCCAGAAAGTTCTTGTAGTCCGCATCTATGTAGTCAAAGGCACTTTCGCTATTCTATTCTCTCGGTGAAACCGATTAGAGGATGCTTTACCTGACCCGGCTCATCCGGAATGCAATTTTCTGGAAAACCACTGACAAGAAAAAAAGTCAGACGCAGAGTAAATGTGTACCTCCGTTGCCGACGTGGCGCACTTCCGCAGTTAATGGGCTCCTTTCTTAATGGCAGCTACCTTTGCGTGGAAAACACTTCAGTGATGCGGAAGACTAAATTTGAGGTTTACAGGGAGCTCGCCGTAAAATATCCATTCGCTTGTAACTACTGCCTCCCGTCCACGTATGCCTAGAGGGAAACGCGGTGATCATCTTATCAGGAATAGAGTCGAAGCCTTCCAGAATACTATTAAGTTAAGATCCTGGATCAGTAAACGATCCATTTCTCCTAAGTTTGACTGCAGCCCTTGGAAGAGTTTTTTCCTTAAGATATTAAGAAATAACAAAAAAAAAAAACAAATAATAAATACTTGTTGATATTGATCAAAATTAATATCTGTCAAAGTACATAAATGGTAAGATATATACGAAGAGAAAGTAATTTCGCATTTCATACATATTTGTATAAACAAATTTTAGAGGCGAAACCCTGTGTGACCGCATTCAGCTTGTGGGCTGGTTTAAACTATATAAAAAAATGTATACAATTAAAACAATGACGAAAAGGTCTACAAAATACGCTACGTAAATATGTTACTAATTTTTCCAAGTAATGGTTTAATCACGTTTTCTGCTGCGGTTACCTAGCTTTCTTGCTTGGCAAATTACCTCAATGCTGCAAATTATCTCACCAAACCGTTCAGCTTCATTCCACATCTGCTTCTTCAATTGATTTGCTTTTTTATTTTGACTACATACATTGTTTGTATGCTTGCTTTTCTTGGGGGGTTGGGTCTCTTAAGAATGTCAAGCGGTATATGACGTGTGGATACCACATCGGAGCATAGTTATGTGCTTTGAAATGTATTTTATCACCCAAAACTAATTTATTACTGTAAGCAAATTAATTTGGCTCACTTTTTATTGCATTTTTGTTCGGAAACTTGCTTGACTTAATAGTTTTTCTGTACAAGTGACTTAAACATAAATAAATAAAAATAGTAATTGGTACATAATAAACGAAATGCTCTTTGACAAATCGCAAGACTGTACATTGAGTTCAAAGTTTAACAAGTTTTGGATTTACAGCACAGTTGTAAATATGAAATCGGTACATGCTCTTGCATTGTTAATTTTTATGGCAAATACAAGACTTTGTAATAAAACAAAAATCACATAACAAGTGCTGCTCTAAAGGTGAAAAATATTCCCGCGGCAGGGTAACTTATGGTGCTATAACCTGGCTATAGCTATATCAACGTATATAAAAGTATAAATAATTAATAAGTTGGTAAAGCTCCGCCAACACGTAGAATTGTATGCATGCATAAGCGCCAAAGTATCATTAATAATAATTATATTATTAGCCTATTATAATTAATACATAATTATTATGAAACATCGCAATAATTAAGTCTCTATTATATGCGGTTTATATACAAATACATATTTGATGCTTGTTTGCTAATTCGTCATTAAGCTTTTGTCTTTAAGAAGCGTATTTTTTACAGTGTATATTTGTCGATATAAGTTGCTTGTTATAGCATACCTTTAGGCGCACACAATGTGCAGCACTCACATTTCCGCCATTGCATGTTCATTACTAACGTACTTGTCTGCTTGTTTTTTTCTTTTGTCTTGCTTCGTCTTTTGCAGAAGAATGGGTAACAAAAAAGAAAACAGAACTTACAACTACACGCCAAATCGAGACACGCGTTAAGCGGCAATTGGTGCTGGAAGATGGCAAAGTTGTGGAGGATTCAGGACCAATTGTCTCAACGAATACAACGGAAGATACTGATAAACAGGAAACGGAAACAACAGAGGTGAGTTTTTTCTTGAAAAGGAAGTCAAAATACACATACATACATACATATGTAAAACCGTAGAGAACACATGTAAATACATATTTTTTTATGTAAAAATAAATTTGTGCATCATGCATATGTACAGCAATAAAATAAAATAAAAATAAAAAATAAAAAAATTACGTTAAATAAAATAAAATTGAATAAATATAAAATAAAATTATATAAAACACAAAAGTATATAAAATATTATATTATATATGTATACTAGGGTGGTCCTTAAATGTAGGAAGCAAATTTTTACATCACATTTATTAAGCCTTAACCCTTACGTCGATGCTACTATTATAGAAGATATCACATATGTACATATATATTTTGGTCCCGATTAAATACGGTTAAGCTGTGTGCACAGGGGTCAAAGTTCAGATTACCCTATGAACATGTCTTAACCGACTCCAATCGAGACCAAAATCTTATATGTGTTTTCTTCGACTTTAGTAATATCGGTTTCCAGTATTAAAGAAAAAAGATATTTTGAATTTTTTAGTCTCCATAGAGGCAACTGGACTTTGACCCCTCTGCGACACGCCTTAACCGTCTCCAATTGGGACCAAAATTTATATGTGATATCTGTGTCCGTGGTATTACCGATCGAGGGTGTGAGACTGAAAAAAGCGTTCATTTAATTTATTTTTTAAGGATCACCCTAATGTATACACACATATACAATAAAGTAAGTAGGTAAAATATACAAGGAAATAAAATAAATAAATAATAACACAAAACAAAATATGTACAATAAAATAAAATAAAAATTAAATGAAACTACGGTAAATTTAATGAAAGAATAAAATAAAATAATATGAAATAAAAACCAAAAATAAAAATACTTAAGAAAAGAACAATAAAATTAAACTAAATTAAGTGAAAAATTATAATAAAATTAAATAAAATAAAATACAATAAAATGAAATTAAAGGAAAAAATAAATAGAGTACTATAATGAAGAGCAATTAAATTCAATGAGATTAAAAAAATTAGAAAAATAAAAGAAAATAAAAACTCAGAAAAAATTAAGCAAAATAAAACAGAGTCAAATTATGTGAAATGTGTACAAGAAAATCAAAAAGAAAATTCAGAAATTGGCAACAATTGATATGAAACAAGAGTTTACACGGGGCGTTCCCAGGTCAGTGGGAGAATGCGGCCTTAGTGGTTTTGACCCCTTGTCAAGCCTGGAAAGAAGTATAATTAAGACGTAGATCTAATTAAGAAACAGATCTCAAATTTGAGCTGTATATTTTATGGCATAGATTTGCTATAAAAAAAATTAATTGAAATCATACATTGCGCCATAAATAAGCTTAGAATCCTGCCCTGAAGAAAAACGAAAAAAAATTATACAATATCGCTCACGAAATGAAAAAGAAATTCCCTTCTATCGAAATTTCTTGAATCAGTGTGTAGAAACAATTTCAAGAAGCAAATGCTCTTATAACTTTTTATTGCTTCCCTTTGTATCATGTCAAATTCTTCTCTGATAGTAGATTTATGCAATGAGGCCCACCAAACTGTGGTGCCGCAGAGCATAATAGGGCGAACCACTGCATTTTAAGTACATCCAGTGGTACGTACTGATGGCTCTCCTTGTTATTACTTCGGATTACCATTTCCAGGAAAGCTTCCTGTACAAAATGATACCCAAGTATCTAACATCGTTGGCCAGAGTCCATGTGGGGCCATTGAGCGAAGAGGGTTGGAATTGGGGTAGTTTGTTGCGGGGCAACTGAGGAGGAAATGCTAAAATGACCTCTCCTCGTTGTCCTCCAAAACGCTGCGGCAATAGATATCCGAAACGATATTATTTCGTGTCAAATGTATTCCTAATGAATCGTGCTCAGCCAGAACAACTGCCCGAGCCGAGAGTTCGCGCTTAGCCAGCTGAAAAAGCTACTTTTCTTACTGGCCAAAAGAACTTTGCATGTCCGGGGTTTCGTCCAGCGCTAACTGAGACGACTTTAAGCCAGTGTTTCCAGTAGTTGACTCGTTCCAGAGACTCTCATTCACTTCTTAAAGAAATGTGTAGAGAAATTTAGGATTTATATAAGCTCCGATACGCACCAATCCGCTTTGAAGTTTGAGGTTGCAGTTGGCAAAGCTTTCCGAGGGCTCATAAATCCACCATGTTGAAGGACTGGTTTAGTACCTTTAGCCAAAGGAATCCAAGCATAAAAATGTTTGCACAAACTTACCTCTAATAAATGTATTTTTGATATCATACAGCTAATTTCAGCCAAAACTCAAAATAGCAACAACAAACAGACAGCAACATCCAAATAAAACTAATTTACCATAAATATTTCATTCCAGAAACGCGATTTAGGTATACCCATCGATGGCGTTGCGGTGGAGGCCAATGGCGGTGCATTAGAGGCGCCTCCTGACACCGTTGACGGCCAAATGGCTCTGCAGCCAGCTGATCAAGCAAAGAGTATTAAGAAAATGGTGCCACGCCCTTCTGACGGACTAGTGCGCGAGTCGAATGAAAAGCGCGTGGTCTCACATGAAGAAGTCAAGGATTATCTTGAAACGGAGGATGTGCGGAACTTGGGAGATTTCTCAGATGAGGTAAGCGCGTCACTAGCAAATAAATAAATGCATGCTTGGCTTTTGTCTTTCTAACACTTTTATTAGGTCATTTGTAATTGTATTGAAAGAATTGAATTTTACGGTAACTGCGGCATAGAATTGTGTTTGTTGTGGCAAACTTAAATACCTACGAGTATTTGATACGGCTTCAGCACGCGTTCTACATTAGCGCCGATAACTACAGCAAGTACACAAACAAACAGCTGCAAATGCAAATGTTTTTCAAGCCGCTTTATATTAACGGTCTAGACCAGACAGACAGACAAAATAGGCAAATACTAAGCGCAGCGTAGGCATTTTGACTATTCGCAGAAATGAATTTGCACAAAAATCTATGTAGCTATGTTACTAACTATGGATACTTGTTGTCAAGCCAGCTGGTTAGCTGCCTAACTTGCTGGCGGCTGCGGCTGCGGCTGCGGCTGTGGCCTGATAGGCAAGCAAGCTGGTATTAATATTACCCCCAGTCCGGTTATCGAAGTTGAAGTACTCGTTACTTTAGTTGCATTTTTTTCGCGAAATTACGAATTTTTCGCTAATAATGAGGGAAAGGCAAATTTATTTGATTTTTAAATGAATGAGCCGATTGTAGTCCAGCTTAAGCCGGTGGCATTTAGTGGAAAATATTGGTGTGCATTAAATGCATTTATCGTTGGTACTTATATATGAATAAGAGTATATAGGTACGGTGACCAGATTTCTGTGGACAAAAAATCGGGACATTTGTAATGCATCGAATACGAACATACAATTTTGAGTTTTTAGAATAAAAAGACATAACATCTGCTAATACAGTTTTATTTAAAACAAAGCAAGGAGTAAAAAACTTGAAAAATTATCGCAAAAATGTATGTGTGGCGAGAATGTCAATAGGTAAGAAACATTTTAGCAAGTTTTCGCTACTTTTCTTTGTTTACATTTTTTTTGTATTATTTTTTATGAAAATATAGCTTACTAGTGATAATTTCCAAATTTTGAATTTTAACAAATGCCTATAAAAGTTGTTTAACATTTTAAACAGATTTTTTAGAATTGTTTTGAGTATGCCCATTCAATTCAAAGTACAAGTTTGAAGTAGCTTGGACTTTGCGTTGATTTTTGGCTATTTTCTTCCATACAAAGTATGTTCGATAATTATTTTGTACGGAGAAAATGAGCAATACCTTCCACAAAAAAAAAAATTGCAAAAGTTAACGGCAAGTCCAAGCTACTTAAAATTTGCACTTTGAATTGAATGGGCTACAAAACTGCATACCCGGAATGTATCTAAAAAATCTAATGAAAAAGCTCAAAATTTTGATGAAACTTTGTCGAACTTAGCTAATTTTTGTACAACGTTTGAAATTGTGACTTGCATGGTCTTTGTTAAATAACGAGCTACACTTACGTAAAAAATAATACAACCTTTAAAAAACCTTTAAAAAAAATTTTTCCAAGAGTGATGGACTGTAATATAGAGAGAGTACCAGTCTGACAGAATAAAACATAACCAAAGATCATAGAAAGTAAAGATGCTGGGGCTATGTTTATGGCTCCCTTATATTCTATGTTCTTTGTGATAACGAATGTGTGCTGCGACGTTTGTAAGAAAAATTGTTTTTGGGTCAGAGTGGAGGGAGACTCTTTTAAAATTTATAAAGAAAACACTGAAAATCAGGATATACTCGGTAGAAATATGAAAAATCGAGACACTCATACGTACCGACTTTTAAGAAATATTCAGCGGGACAATATTCTCAAAATCGGTACGAATGGTCACCGTATATATAAGTGTATGTTTGTATATACATATTTCTATATAAGTATGTGCATAAGCATACATGTAAATATGTATGTGCATATCTGCACACGTGTTGATTAGCTTACTATTAAAAGGCGAATAATAAAAACCTCTCATATTCTATCTATGTAAGTACATACATAATTGGGGCGGTTGTATTTGATATGCAAAACATGGGTTCGATTTTTGACTGTGAGAAATGCGTGTCAAGCATAGCGACTGCATTCGCACACTTTAAATGTACAATGCAGTCCGTACATTGGTTTCCCCTACCAATTTGCGGAGCTCAGATCGCCTTGCCTTGGGATCTCGAATCTTTTGTGTTGAGGTTCTGAGAGCGAATCTTCGTCCGAAACTGGTCATTTCCATATAAATGCAGAGTTTTGCCTCCTGCAGACGACGGTGTTTAAAGTAGGCTTGTAGAAGATATTCTAGATGATACTCTTTCATTTCATTGATCTCGGAGCTGCTACACTAGGTAGAGTGGGCCAATCTTGAACAGACAGTTCAAGCGTTGATTTCATCTGAAAAGCAGGCGAATACTGGGATAATTTTTACATCAGCTACTGCCACTGAAAGCTGGGGATCGCATCCCCAACCCGGTCATAAATTAAACCATGGTTCAAGTAGAAGGCCTGTATAAGACCCTTAGTTCGTAGTATAAGCTGCTTATTGTGTAAATTACTAGCATTAAGCGACTGTTGGGCGGGACACGCCTTTTTTGTCTCGTCGGCACCTTTTTTTAGAAGTTTTATGGCATTGTCAACTGGAATGAAGAACAGTTCGATACCACTCACCACCTTTCTATACCCACTGGCGGATTGACCACTACCGTGTAGCGTAGGGGAGATTAATGACTTTTGACAAAAAAATCTGGCTAATTCAACATTTTTTATTTATTTAAATTTGTGCTTATTTCCATTCCCGCGATAATCAAGAAATTAGAAAGTAAACCGCAGTAATCCCCAACCCACGGTAAGACTTTATGGAACTGGCGCTCAACCGGCATCCACAGTCCGAATAGTAGAAGCCAGGCACCGACTGGCCATGCATCCGTCAGCATATGCTGTTTTACCTTGGTGTTGGGGTAGTTCATGTCAAGGAGAGTCCAAGTCAGGGCCCAGTTGGAGATCAATGTATTACCCATCGCTCCCATTGATCTCGAATATCAACTTCTTTTCGCCGTGTGTTTCATTACCTCCGCGAGTATTCGAGAATTTCTCAAGTGGAAGTTCTCGCCATCTATCTGAGTTCGGAGTTCGGAATCGGAAGATTTTTATTCTAAGTGTTAACCAGTAGCCGGTCATAACTTTATAAGCATATTAAATCAAATCAATCACAGTTAAACTCCCGGGACTGAGTTGCAAAAGAGGCGGCGGCATCACTCCAATCGGGGGTCGAGTCTTGCTGGTACATTCGTTCTTATATGGAATCCTAACCGCCAAAATAACGTAAGCGACATTTTCTTAAAAATTTTCTTTTTGATGCAGAAATGCATCTAGATGCTCTAGGAATATTTCTGCATCAAAAAGAAAATTAAAAAAAAAAAAGTGTCGCTTACGTTATTTTGGCGGTTAGGGCGCGATATTATTAAGGAGAAGCTCAAGGAGGCCGAGTTATCAGCTATCGATTTTTGAAGATTATTGGCAATAAACGATGGATTTACGAATAGTCCCAGCCCTAATAGGAATTCTTTCCAAAATATACTAGATTTTTGGCACAATTTTTCATAAAAATTAACAATTTTTTGAAGTTCGAACTTTTAAAATTCAGAAATTGCAAACAAAATCATGACTTTGTCATTACACATTGTTTCCGTTAACTCATAATTTTCGATTCCCACAGCTATAAAAAATCTACAAAGCCAACAAAACTAATAAGTTTGAAATTCATTAATTTGCTCTCTTTCTCAGGGAAGGTTTTTTTTTTTTGAATTGCAAATGTATCTAATGTCAAATTTCTCGCACTCACCCATAAAACGATTGTTTGAACAAATAAAATGTTCAGTTTGTTATGGCTGCTAATGCACCGAGTTTACGACTGGAAGAGCTGAGCTAAATTGACACTACCTTCGTAGTATTTCCATTGCAGCCATTCGCTTCGTTTCACAGCATTTGCCCTTTCATTGTGAGAGTCAAAAATCATCTTCAACGCGAGAGCTACTTGCATTAAATTACACACACACACACACCTGCGAAATCGTATAAGTATTAACTTTTTTTTTTATACGCTTTGTAACCGTAACAAAATCAGGTTTGTTGGAGCTGCCTTTAATTATCTTACCAACCCTAAACAACTTTAGCTGTTGCCAACAAAAATGAAGCTACACAAAATTATTGTGGCCTAAAGCCTGGAGAGGTGCACTCGGCTGTATAAATAGCAGCACTAATAAGAGATGAGTGCTGAGCTTGCTGCCGATAGCAGTGAAGAAAAAGGAGAAGTAGAAATAGAGCCACATTAAGGCTAAATATCAGCCATAGCTGTGGAAGAATTTCGCTGCATTGGCGCACACTCAGTAGATGAATCGACGCAAATAAACCACTTTAACTTTCGGCTTTCCACTCTTTCTTTGGAGTCGCATTTAATAGCTCAACTATCTCATTACCTACGAGTATAACTAGAGTCTAGTTGAGTATTACTATTAGACGCAGTTGGATGTTTTTGCAGAGCAAACATTTTCTGCCATCGTCAACAAGAATAAGAACAACAACAACAACAACAACAAAACAAACACCGGAACAAGTTGCATCATGTGACGCAGAGCTTAGCGCAGAGCTTGCGGTTGCGGTTGCGCCTACTGCAGCTCAGGCATCATACATATGTACATCAGCTGTGATTGTAGTTGTGGCTATGGACGTAACTGAGATTGAAATAAACATTCGCCACCGTCAGAGGCACGCAGCACTACAGCGGTGGCTGAGCCACAACTTGAAGATAAAGCCGCAGCCACAGAGTCACAAACAAACAAAAAAAGACTGTATACCTACAATGGGGCTTTGCGCTGACTACTCTTTGGCTCGTTGCTTCGCTGCCTCACTGGCTCAGTGCTCGGCTGCCTGGTTGCCTACTAGCTGCTGCTTGGTGGCAGCTGAAAAAAAACTCTGCCTCTTCATGGTTTGGTGTTTGCCGCAATCAGTTGTTGTTTGGCGTGCGCGACGGTCAGATATTGTTTTGAACGCGCTTTGTCGAGCTGGTGCAA